TTTATGACGTGTGAGCTATGAAGGAGTCTGAATGGTATGAGGATGTTGGTAAGATGAAAGTTAAGAAAAGAAATCTCAGGCATGAATCTCTTTTTATGTCTTTGTTCCTTCACAGAACTTATTTATGAAGAGGTGATTGACTGGGAAGAAAGAAACAAGAACGGCCTGATGAAAGAAGATTGCTCTGGTAAGGACACGTTCAATACTGACCATCAGCCACACTGACCATAGCATATGTATATATGTACTGTATATGTATATATATATGTATATTTATATATGTGTGTATATATACTGTTTTTTTCCTCATACAACAGATGCTGTGTCAGGCTCCGCCTCCCAGTCCTCGTCAGCCAACGACATTTCGTCCATGTCCACGGAGCAGACCCTGGCCTCGGACACAGACAGCAGCAGCATCGACACACTGACAGGACCGCTGGACGAGAGTCAGTGAACTCGGCTTCGTCTGCCTGCTCGGCAGCCTCGCCTTCCGACACCCACATATCATCCTCATCATCATCATCGTCACCTTTCTGACTTTTCTCTTAACTTCCTCCTTCCTTCCTGTTATGATTTGTCTTTCTTTCCCCCGTTTTACATCAACAAGTAGGTATTTTTCTATTTTCTTTCCGTGTATCATCCGGTAACTTTCATGTTGAAGAGACTCCATCTTCTGACTTTGTTTTGGACAACCGCTGAGAATCAAAGCTTCGTATGCTTCTCTACTCTTTGTGGATATTGTTCAACCTGATATTAGTATATTGACATTTGCACCATGTGGATCTTCAGGTTACCAGGAGAAGGCGGAGGATCTCTGTTTGTTTCTGTTTGCCTGTATTTGGCAGTTGTATTTTTTTTTATGCAAATAAGTTGAGGCCAGAGTTTGCCGTCATCAAACTACTGCAGACACTAATGAACTCGCACCACAGCCATCATGCATGTTACACCGATACGAACAAAAACTTCCCATAAAACCAACCACACTGACGTCTGGTGTACGTGTAACGATCAAACGCTGATCCGAAGTCTGATCAAACTTTTATCAAGCTCACCGCAGATCTCCACATCAGTGTTTTTTGCAGTATTTAATTCATGAATTTGGCATGAGTGATGTGGATTTTAGGCTTTTTAATTCCTGTCAGCTCTGGAGAATAATAAGTTGCAGTGTTTTACCGTTTTATTTCTTGATATAATGTACTGTAAAAAAAAAAAAAAAAAAATCTAACACGTGTAGTGACTCTAGGCCCTTTCACTGCAGCCACGGTAGCTACAGTTTGAGTGTTTGGTTAGCAGATTCATCGCAACCGTTGGAGTGTTTATCGCAAACAAACCAAGTCGACGCCAGGTACCAGTTATCAGCGTTTGAGGCTGGTTTAGTCCCATTGTTTTGGAAGAGGTGACAGAAAAAAAGAGAGATGTTAAAACTAGTATTTATTTTTATGAAGAAGCAAAAATGTTGCACAGGATCCCGCGGAGGCACATGGAAACCAGTCCTACGGTCAAAACACTTCATCGACAGATCACTGCATGGGCTGCACCTTCTCTAGACCATTCCATTAGAACACAGACAGTAAAAATGTAACCGTGAATTCGCCATACACTGCAAACGCAGTAAAGTGCAAATACCGGTGTTTACCTTGCATGCAAAAAGTCACGTGCGTATTACGTACACCCTGTAGTTTGTGTTCCAGAGACAAATCACTTCAGCTCATTATCTCTTTCACTTGCAGTATCTTGATGCTCTGGGCGTCAATGGCTGCATCCAAAATAATGTACTGTATTTTTTGTTTTTTTTTGTTTTTTGTTTTTGTTTTGCCTTTTATGCATTTGTGTGTGTGTGTGTGTTTGTGCGTTACCAAGTTTACAGCTCTAAACCCACCTTTAAAGACAGTAGGCGCCCCGGTCGGATGGCAGCGTTTGGATGCAGTTGGATGAGAAATTGACTGAAGAATCTAGAGTCACAATCTGCAACTTGAGACTGAAACTTGAAAGATGAAACTTGAAATTGGAAATGGAATGGAGCTGCCCCCCCCCCCAACTTCCCTCACATTTCCTCTCTGAAATGATTGCACAACATGATGGACATGCAGACGTATGACACGATGGAGTCACTGCGACTTATGCACCATTTTTTTCTGTCAAAGACCTTATTCTTTCAGCCATGCCTTAATTACTCAATAAATTACAGGAGAAGTGACGGTTTTACTCCAACATAAGGACGAAGCATCAACAACAGCAACCAGAACGTTGTCCTCTGCGTCGGTGAGTTCAGAGAAAGATGTGTTGCACGACGTACATCTCACATTTCATTTGAGATTGTTTCTCCTCTTTGTATTTTCAGAGATGTTTTTGTGTGATTGCAATGACCATGACATTGTCACCCGGCCCTTACGCAACTAATAAAAGTGGAACATCTGTGATTTATTTTTCTTTCATTGGAGAAACGGCTCTTCACGGAGAGAGAGAGACAGAGAGAGAGAGCCTTCTGTGTACTGTTTTTACACCAGCACCATCACACACACCACAAATGTTTTTTCTTTTTCAAAAGCTCTTAACGATGTATTCTGTTTTCTTGGCCTCTTTGTTGAGCTCCCCGAAGGTGTCGAAGAACTGCTCCATCTCCCTCTGCAGCGTCGCATTGTGGAGTTCGGCGGCGGCTCTCGCTCTCTCAGACTCTACGATCTTAGCTTCCACCACCTGGTACCAGTCACGCTGCTGGGTGAGGTTGGTTTTCAGCCGCACCACCTCTGCTCTCAGATCCTCGTTTCTCTGTTCCAGGCTGAAGAAGAAGAAAGACGAGTACGTGGTAAAGTAACTTGGTCAGGTTTCAAACTTGATGTCGAGTGGTCGTCAGGACTATAAACAGGGCTACAAACTGTGAGTACGGACCAGTTGCCAAATAGTTGAATTTGATGGTACAAACCCTATTTCCAGAAATATATATTTTTCACAATAACTGGTTAATAAATCTGCATTTGGTGAGTTACTTCAAACTTTAGTTACCAGCACTGAATCGTCTTAATCCATATCCAAAAATCTAGAAGGCCCAGAGTGTTGCAGTAGTAGAACCTGTACCTACCACTAGGGGGCAGTTCTTTGTCTAAAAGAAAATTATTTCATTGAGTAAACCTTTAATGGATGCTCCTTTTATACTTTGGCCTAATATCCAAATCTGTAGGCAACACCCCTGCTAGTGAAGAAAAACTTGACATTTTCTGTCTTCATCATCTTGCTGCTGTTACCTTCAGGGGGCGCCACAGCAGATCGTCTGCCTCTGTAGTTTTATTAACTGGGTGTTATTTTACCAAAACAATCCACTGTCTGACTGAAATCACATGAATAATCAGACTGAAGAGTTTTAGTGCTTCTTTAATGCACAGTAGCAAAGACCTGTGGCATGTTTTTATTTTTATTTTTTTTATTTGTTTATCTTTTATACGTCCCAGACACCAAGCCTTGATCTGACACTGATTTCTGTCTGTATACACTACATGCCTATATTTATATCTGCACTAAATGAAGTAGCAGTTTTTCCTGGGTCAGCAGCCTGCTCTCTAAAATTAGCTTATTTTCCACTGCGTGAACTGTTTCTATAGGTCAAGCACTGATCACCTTTCTATCTGTCTGAAATCTTAAGTCACTTAAGTTTGAGCTAAAAAAGATAAAATAAAAAAAAAAAGACCAATCATTTACGCACAATATAAAAAATAATCTGGTTTTAATACATGTTGGATTCTAGTGTAGCAGCTGTCGATCTCAGCCGAAACCAAACAGGATGTAGGGTCAAGCCTGGGGTCGTCTTTGTGACCAGAGAAATACAACTTGGTGGTCACACACTCTTTTGGACCCTGGGAACATTTTCCCAGCTCAATAGAAAACACAACGAATCGTACATTTTTCAGGAGTCACACCATTTGGCATGTTTTTATTTTTATCCGTTTATTTGTGCGTGTGTGTGTGTGTATGAACTAGACCTGGATTAAATTACCTGGTTATTCTCCGCTCATACTCATCTCTCTGCCGGACTATCTGCTGCTGCAGGCTGGTGAGGAGGCTGCGGAGGGCACTGGCTGAGGGGTCAGCCTGAGGTATGGGGGGAGGAACCCTGGGTGACCAGGAGGCCTGCTCCAGGTGCTGGACTTCAGCAGGTGGCCATATCTGAGTGTGGATGTGAGGTGATACTGGGATCTGGAGAAGTGACTGCTCCACCTCCTGAAGTCCACTGAAACCTGAGTCCACCTCTGGCCCCCGCTCCTCCTTTTTGTCTTGGTCCTGGTTACTGGGAACCCCTGCGGAGAGGATGATCTCACAGGACGACCACTGGCTCTTGTCTTCACTCACCCCTTCACCCTCCATCACTCCCTGGAAGTGTTCGGGGGCCCAGATCTGACACAGCTGCTCCTGCACGT